GGAGAGGCAGGGGAGGGGGGGCTTATCGGACAAACCCAAATGGTTTATAGGCAAGCTTGCTTGTTAAAGGCAACTTTCCCCCCTGGGTTTTCGGGTTTCCTAAGAACGCCAGCCTGTCTCGTTTCCCAAGAAAGCCACTCGGGCAGCTAAAACGGACGGGTTTAGGGGTCATTTTGGGTTTTTTGTCCCTCGCCAAGCCTTTCCGAAGGGATGCCCAAGGACTGAAGCCTTTGCAATCAATTAACCTTTCCTGGTGGCCTTTTGCAGATGGGCTTTTAGCTTAGAGGCCCAGCCGTTGAAACGATCCCTCCGTTAATTAACTAAAGACATCCTTCGTCCACACCAAGGGCCATTTGTGGCCCTGGCAGCAAGTACGCTGGCCCAGATGTGCCCAGGAAGAGTGAGAAGCTTATGTTTATGTGTACACAGTAGACAGTGAAAGAGAGTGAAACAGCGTCTCGCTCAAGATTTTTCTGGGACCCTTTGAGAGATGCCGTTATCACTGGACGATGCATGCACTTATAAGTGTGTGGTTAACAAACGGAGGTGCTTAAGCAAAACTTTGCAAGCAGCTGAAGAAGGCGGAAGCCGAAATGTCTGGCTTGAATATTTCTGTATACATATACAGGCAGACGTGCGCTCCCGCAGAAAGTGTCCAACACCGTTTTGTGAACCCCTGCGCTTCTGTGTGTTTTTTTTTAATGCTTTCAACGGGCCTAAGGATACAATACACTCGTGAACAGAGCTTTAAAAAGTTACTTTTTTGGATCACAGCTCCAAAAACCTCCTAATCAGTGCAGGCAGTAGATATCCAGGTTGAGAAATCCCAGGAGTTGTAATCAAAAAAGTAACTCCCCCAAGTCCTGCCTGTGTGGAGCTTACAAATTGGTCCTGATGGGAACCACCTTTTCGGGGGGTGGGGGAAATCAGTGTTAAAAAACATAGCAGGCGGGTTACAACCCAAAGCACTCACTGCAATCCCCAGGTGGGCCAGGCAAGAAAATCACCTCCGGGCTCTGATCTGAATCCTCGTCTTCTTCCTCTCTCTCCCGAAACTGCAGGCGTTGGGATGTGGCTGCGTCGCCCAATCCGTCCTCAGCAGAGGGGCCTTTGGAGGGGCGCCAGTGATCTCTATCGGCTTTTCCATGGCCGTCACCATTGGCATCTATGTAGCCGGAGGTGTTTCGGGTAAGCTGTTCTCTGGTTTTATTTTTTTTTTCAATTGGGAAGTCAGGAGGAGAGAGTTAGAGAGAGTTAGAGAGAGACGGTGGTAGTGGTGGCCATATTGAGTGGCGAATCAGGAAGCCCCTTGGTTGGAATCTCATCTCCACCACAAACGTGCTGGGGAGGCTTAGAAACAGTACTTCTGTCTTCCCCAATAGTGCCCTTCTCTGGCCCGGCCACCACGTGGATTTCCAAAGCCCCTGCTTCTGTTTTTAAACTGACTATGGTCTGCCGTTAGGTCTAAAAGGAACCAGACTATGGTTAGGATAAACTGTGGTTTGTTTGAACAAGCCTTGATCAAACCAGCTGCAAAAACGGCCTGTGAGGTTTTTGTTTAGTTGGATCCGGAAGACACAGGAATGGAATCTGAACAACAGGATGGACCTTAAGGGCTACACATTTGGTCTTGCCTATTGGGAATGGAAGGAAAATACCCACAAGGGATAATATGGGGCGGAGGGGGGGGGAGAAGCAGGTCAGAGGAAAGCACTGGATGTTCCTGGGCAACCCACTATAAAAGAATCTGTGCTATGATGCTGGAAAGGGGGGGGGAATACCCTCAGAAATTATTCAACAAGGCAAACAGTAAAAGCACCTTGGCCAAGAAGCTCTTGGCTTAGCCCCCTGCAAACTGTAGCTGTGCTCACCCAGTGGGAATCAACCCAGGGGAGAGCCGACGAGAGAAAGTCTTGCAACACGAATGCATGTGAAGGAGCAGCTTCCGGGGGGTGGCGCTCCGGCCCCCTCCTGCCGGCCAAAGCAAACACCCAGCCTCTGGAGGGAACCCGACGGGCCGAATCCGGCAAGGGAGTCTGGGGAGTGACTGGGAAATTCACCCTGGGCTCCTGCTTGGGTGACATTTTTGCGGGTGTTGGAGCTTATCTTCTGCCACCGATGGACCTAACGCTTCTTGTGTTTCCATCACACACGGTGTGGAGGCCCGTGCAGTTGCTTCTCTTGCTTTTCCCTAGGGTTTCGATATATCCACACGCTTGCACACACACACACACAAGTGCCTGCCCTCGAGTTTGATCTGAGGGGGCAACACTCACGTTGTCTTCTCCTTCGAACAACCCTGGATGGGCCATAAAAGATGCTCGCCCACCCCCACTCCCACCCCACCCTGGTGACCTGGACCAGTTTTTCACTGCGAGCCCTTATGAAAACCCCGTAGGTAGCAAGTGCACCGCGGAGGAGCCCTGGACTCCTTCCTGCATCGATGGGCAACAGCGGCATCTCCCCCTGTCCCTTGCTTGGGGCCAAGCCTTGCCGGGGCCCTTGGGGTCCAGGGCCGGTCAAGGTCTGGAGGGCTAAATTCCCCCTAGACAGAGCTGGCCTCTCCCAGGGCTACCTAGACGGGAAGGCAAAAGGCCTCGCCTGCAGGGCACAGAGTTTCAGGCTCCCTCCCTTTGGATCCACCTGGGTCCCCCATCCGTCCTCCTTTCACTAAGCGCAA